TCTAGCGTTGTAAGTCCGCAGACATACCGGTGTGCCACTGGGGGGGAAATGTTTAGTACAATGAACCGGCTTGCACGTTAAGTTTATTTCTTGTTTCGGGTGTAAGAAATTCAAGCAAAAATAATAATAATATTTTTTTTTAGGTGTAGCCAAATTTTCTCGTGCATTTTGATGACGTGGGTGTAGTTTTGCTACAAGCGAGATGGTGGAATGAAGAGGGTCATAAGTTGGAACTCCTCCAATGAGTATCTAATCTGAGTATGAAACTATCCAGCTGAAAATAGAAATTGAAGTTCATGTGTCTGAGAGTAACTTACAAAACTAAGGTCTTAGTTTAATTCTTTATTGTTCTCTGTTGAAAACATTGATGAAAAGGTAAGTCGGTTACACAGTACTTCTGGCTTACTTTTAATATTTGATGAGAAAACTTATAGATAGAATTCTGCTAGATGATTAACCATTAATAACATTAGGAAGAAAAATAGCATTATTGTGTCATACTGCTGTTTTGCATTTATATCTAACGAAGAAAACGTCTTATAACATTTTATTATCACATGCGACTCTTGTGACACTGTAAATGAGGTAAAGATTGTAGATTTAAACTATTTAAAATATTTATATACTAAAATATACTTTTAGTTTTCTAGTGTGACAAACACCGAGTAGTTCTTATTTACCGATTTTATTGCATATTGAAGTTAAGTTAAATAGGTTAAACTGTGACATCCGATAATTTTTAACTAACCATTATGTTTTTAATATATTCAATACCGTTAATCTGTGACATGCAAATATTGTTAACTAACCATTATGTTTTAAATATATTCAATACCGTTAATCTTTAACGTACAAATATTATCAACTAATAATTATGTTTCTAATATTCAATACCGTTAATCTGTGACATGCGAATATTATTAACTAATCATTATGTTTTAGATATTAATATTGTTAATCTTTAACATACAAATATTATCAAATAATCATTATGTTTTTAATATTCAATAACGTTAATCTGTAACATGCGAATATTATTAACTAATCATTATGTTTTAGATATTATTATTGTTAATATTTAACGTGCAAATATTATTAACTAATCATTATGTTTTAGACATTAACATTGTTAGTCTATAACGAGCGAATATTATCAACTGATCATTATGTTTTAGATATTAACATTGTTAATCTTTAACGTGCGAATATTATTAACTAATCATTATGTTTTTAGTATTCAATACTGCAACTTTTTAATTTTTTTAAATTTATTTTTATACCAATTTTAGGTAATTCAGGTTTGTCGACTAATCATGAATGACACAATAATTGTATTTGAAGGACGAAGTAATAGCTTCCCTCTGGAAGATGATATAATTGACATTACAGCAGACATGGGCTATAATAATTTTTCCATGACCGTTTATGAATACCCGTTAAACAACTTAACAACGAACCTTACAGAAAACAGCATTCTTCCAACTCAGCCAACAGAGGGCGTTGTGCTCATGAGTATAACCTCCGTGATTCTCGGGCTTCTCATTTTAGCCACAGTTATCGGCAATGTTTTCGTTATTGCTGCTATCTTTATGGATCGAAACCTGCAGTGTGTTGGGAACTATTTAGTACTCTCATTAGCAGTGGCTGATCTAATGGTTGCGTGCCTCGTGATGCCACTCGGAGCTGTGTATGAGGTTACCCAAGAATGGATTCTCGGTGCTGCCCTCTGTGATGTCTGGACTGCATTTGATGTCTTATGTTGCACAGCTTCCATCCTCCATCTTTTAGCCATCGCTATCGACAGGTTCTGGGCCGTTACACAGGTTGATTATGTCAGGAAACGTAGTGCTAGGCACATTGGTACTATGATATTTATAGTATGGACTGTTGCATTTGTGGTTTCGCTGGCTCCTATCTTTGGATGGAAAGACCCTGACTTCTTAAAGCGCGTCGAACAAGAAAAAAGATGTCTCGTCAGCCAGGATGTTGCTTATCAGGTTTTTGCCACATTTTCTTCTTTCTATGTGCCTCTCGTATTAATCTTGATTTTATATTTCCGAATCTTTCGAGAAGCTAGAAAACGAATTCGTCATAAACCAGGTAATAATGTCCCAAAAATAAAAAAGAAAGACAAAGCTAAGAGATCTTCTGCTTTGACTGCAACGATACCTTCATGCAGTGAAATGACATCATTTTCAAATTTGAATTCCCAAGCAGCTAGTCCGGATATTACCAGTTCAACTAATGGCCTCACCAGTAAACTTACTGATATCAGTCGAATGGAAGTGCTTCCTAAAAAGAAGAGGCACACTAAGGAATCCTTGGAAGCAAAACGTGAACGCAAAGCGGCCAAGACCCTTGCCATTATAACTGGAGTTTTTGTAATTTGTTGGTTACCATTCTTTGTGATGGCATTGTTGATGCCTTTGTGTTCTGCTTGTGAACCGAGTGCTGTTCTTTTTAGTTTTCTTCTTTGGTTAGGTTATGTAAATTCTATGTTGAATCCCATTATTTACACTATATTCAGCCCGGATTTTCGATCAGCATTTACGAAGATGATGTGTGGAGAAATGAAGAGGCAGTCGTACAAGCGATAACCACAGAAAATCAACATAATATAAGCTGCTCGTGTAAATTAAACCTTTTAATTATGAAATGTTACACTATTAGCTGTTACTAATCAGTAATTCGTGCCAGTTGTTAATTGTCGAATTCATTACTGTTGTTGAATGCCCTGAAGTAAAGAGACAATACACGTAACCACTACTGTGAACTTTCATATATGGAATTACAAATTGATCTGGTTCTGAACGGATGCCACGGTATCGAGATAGATTTTTACTTGAAAAGAAAAAGGTCTCTAAGGGTGATGAAGGTTTGTGAAGGTTTGTAACGGACTCTTTATCATTTAAACAAAAGTTTTGGTGAGTCTGTATATCAATTATTATAGTAGACCGTAATCTTGTACTTTGTCGCTTCTATGAGTATCAGATAAAATAGTCTAGATAACACTTTTAGGTGTTAGCTGGTGATGTCAGTTCTGTATCGATTTGCTTGATTTGGGGCTCATTTAGCAAATCCGTACACAAACTCGACTATCCATGTTTCGTGCTTAGGAAACGTTGGCAGTGTTCAAGAAGTCAACAGGTCACATTCACAGAGCCGTTACCTGGGTATATGTTGTTATTATATCGATTTGTTTATTGTTCTCGTAGATATTATAGGAACCTTATTGTATACTCCCAATCTAAGTGGCCATTCTTTGAATGAGATAAAGCTTTACTTCGTGATAGTGCTTCTAATAAAAATCTTTGTTGAATCTTCGTTTTTACTTATTGGAGCCTTTGTGTTAACCATAATGCACGTAAAGCGAAAAAGTGATCTTACAAATCACATCCTAGACCTTGTGTTCGCCAACAAATACTCAAACCAAGATATTTCTATTAATATCAACATATTTATTACCACTCATCAAGCGTTCAAAAAAGAAGGAAATTCTGGGTCAGAAAACTAATTAGCTACTAAAAAAATGAGGATTATTTTATTCAACATCTTAAGAATAGTGATTACTATGATCAGATTATAAGTTAATAGAAAAGTAGCATGGCTAGCAATTTCAAGTAAGTTTAGTATATACAGATTGACCGGGCACAACATGTTATATAGTGTATCTTAATATTACCACGGTCATGCGCATTAGATAAGAAAAACATTTACACAAGCAAAGAGAAAACATCAAGTATTAAGTACACTTTAAGTATAATATATTCACTGACAATGCTTTTTTTAAGGTATGACTAACAGTATCAAAAAGAAATTAGACTTCCCATTTAATATATATATAACTAGATATGGTTTTAAAGTATTCTAACTAGATATTTTTTACAATGCGAATGCTACAGGATTTGTATTCTCAAACTTGTATGGAAAGGAAGCTATAAAAGAAATCCTGAAAACGGGAACGAAGCAGGAAAATCGTTTGTTAAATTTTAATATAATTATTAAAAACATATCGTTTTAACATTAATGCATACACAACAATGCACTTATAATTTGACAATTCTAACATATTTCATCACTAAGGTAGACCCAGTTATAAAACTTTTATAGAAGCAATATAGATCAGAGAAAGACGGAAGTATTAATTAGACAAATGGTTATGTGAATAACAGTATGAAAGTTTCTTGTACTAAATATATATATATATAACATCTCTATTCACAAGTAGCGGTAGTTAAATAATTATGTGTATCAAAGCAGATTCATTATAAGCAGAAGACAGAGGTAAATAATAACCAACCGTAATCAATTCTTAACCCAAGAGTAGTATAAGTACTACTTATCAGTACAAATTAACGTTTCGGTAACAAAGTGTAAAATGCACAATTGGCCAATTACACCAACAAAGGAAATTTTTAAGTATTTAATTGTTGAATTTTGCGTGAAGCTAATGGAGGGTTATCTGTACCAGCCATCTTCGATTTTGAAGTGCTGGACTAGAGGGAAGGAGGCAGCTACTCAATTTCACCAGCCGCCAACTCTTTGACTACTTTTACCAACGAATAGTGGGATTGACCATCATATTATGACGCCCCCAAAGCTGAAAAGACGAGCGTAATTAGTTTCGATCCTGCGACCTACAAGTTGCGAGACGAATGCCCTAACCATCAGGCCAAGTTGGGTATTAAAAAGGTAAATATTAACATTAACTGAAAAATTAAACAAAAAAGAAAAACTTTAATTTCAGGTGGAAGCATGATTCAGTTTAATACTCTGTAGAAAAAAGACCAAAAGCCGTGGGAAAATTGCTACAAGAGATATTGTAAATAGTCAAAACACGCTTTATAATGAAAGAAAACATTCTTTTATTAGTTACGTTTCGGACACATACCCTTCTTCAAGCTTAGCTGCTACAATTACAGAATGTACAGAACTTTTTACAATATATCTTCTTTTTAATATTAGTAGAGGTATCGAAATAAAACAAATGTCACGTGACAACAAAAAATTTAATTATTGTTTTAAAGGTTTCTTTTGAAATAACTGAATAAAAACTTAGCTAATATAAAACTCTGAATTATGACGTACTTGATCAAAATAATTTCACTAAAATAGATTGATGATAAAGTGGTTTAATTAAAACTTTAATGTAACTCAGTAAGACTTTATGACATGCGCAAAAAGAAGTTTAAAAACTGCATCGTCCGGAAAGAGTTAAGAATTTACCTATCGGAAGATTAACGCTATGGGTCTCTCTTATAAAAGTTAGTTACAGCTATACGCAAGCTAAATAAACTTAAATGTTGTGTTCATCTGCAATCTTTGAAGAGACCTATTACGACTTTTAACTCTTACTTTATCAATTCACATTCTATACCTATGTCTGGTGTTTGTTTCTACTCCTGAGAGGGTTTAGTTAAAGAAAATGTTTTTACTCTAAATAATACGCCAAATTACATTGTGGAAGAAAACAGATTACTTTAAAGTACCAATTGTATCCTTGAGGATATTATATCAAAATAATAATTATTATCTAGAATTACACAGGATTACTCACATTTTATAAATACGAATTACAAGTGTTAACACAATGGAGTGTCTACAGAAATGCAAGTCTTGGTACCGTGATAGAAATGTTTAGTACTATATATTTTTGGCCATTCAACAGTGAAATATCTTATCAGTTAAACTTAAAGCTAGTGTAAAAACACCACGAATGGTTTTTAAAACATTATATTACGAGATTGTAAGTAAAGGACGGCATTTTCAGGAAGGAAACTTTCAGTTTTCTCCAAGGAAACGGAAAAGTAGTGAGTTTAGGACAACAACAGGCTTTGAAAGCACATCCTGAAGCTAAGTTGGAGCAGTGCCTTCGTGCGCTAAAGTGAAGACTTAAGAAGGAGAACCTCAGGACCAAAAATACTACTGTGATAAAGCTGGGCATCTCTTCTGATACCAAAGTGAAGGCACTTTTAGCTACAGCTCGAAATCAACGTTTGTATTCCCTGGTACCAAGGTGAAGGTACTTTAGCTACAGCTCGAAATCAACGTTTGTATTCCCTGGTACCAAGGTGAAGGGCACTTTTAGATACAGCTTGAAATCAATGTTTGTATTCCCTGGTACCAAGGTGAAGGCACTTTAGCTACAGCTCGAAATCAACGTTTGTATTCCCTGGTACCAAGGTGAAGGCACTTTTAGATACAGCTTGAAATCAACGTTTGTATTCCTGAGACAAATGTTTGAAGAAACTGGAATTAGAGCAGCCCCATATACTTATCAAGTCCACAGATGCAGCTTCATGGATTTCTATGGCATTTGTCTTCTTAAATGTACGGTGGAGGATCTGTGGAAAGCTTACGAATATAATCATTTTAAGAAATCCCATGTCAGACAACCTTGCCCGATCACGGCCTTCAGATTGGCACAACCAACGATTGGAGAAGTAGTTTCAAAAACAACATGGGATCAAGAAAATGGTTCTTCTTATAAACTACGATTAACCATTATCATTGATGAAGAACTACAATATATATAACAACTTCCATACAGGTAGATGATTACTAACATAATTCCGAAACATAAAATTGTTAAAACGAATGAGATCGGTCTAAAATGTCATATTTTGAAAGTAATGTATTGTTGCAGAGAGAACAATAATCGTTTCAAGGAAAGTTCCGTGTAATTACAATTGAAATAAACTGCATGAGTATTGGCTAAAGTTTATATCACTGCACTTTAGAACTGAGAGTAATTCTTTACCCAGAATTGAGTAAACACAACCGACTGACAGTAATATTAGTGCTAAATATTCACTGCATTGGAGTCTGTTTGTTTGTTTGTTTTGGAATTTCGCGCAAAGCTACACGAGGACTATCTGCGGTAGCCATCCCTAATTTAGCAGTGTAAGACTAGAGGAAAGGCAGCTAGTCATCACCACCCACCGCTAACTCTTGGGCTACTCTTTTAC